ATGTGATGCAAATAAACCCAACTCATAATTATATTGGACATCCAGTACTAGTTTGACAAGGGTGTTTTGTAATCATATTTTAAAAGTGTACTGTGTAGCTAACAGTTTCTTACCTATACTGTATATACATGTACAAGTATACCACATGTATACCATATGACCTATGTACTCTACCACAGAATTCATTTAATATTTATAAGTATTGACATGGTTTTCCAGAGGTAAGTGTGGTTGCTGGTACAGTAATTTATAAGGGATCCATAAATTTGATATTGGTCAGAGTTCTGCCCTTTGTACTGCCATTTGTAGAAACAATAGATAGTAATATAAGGACTTTGGTGTTGTTAATAGGTTCAGCAATCAATTTATATTTGGTCACGTGACGAGGGGGTATACGTACTGGTAGAGAGTATTTAGGGGCTATATCATGCACACACTCCATTTTATTCTCAATTGAAAATAGCCCCTCCATCCTCTCAATAATCCAGATAAATTCCCGTTATTTTTACATAAATTGTCTTGTGTAAAAAGTGAATGACATAAATACAATGTTTTAGAAAAAAATCATTCTTTATTTCCGCTTCTGAAAGTGGCCTCCACCAAGTACTTGTCCTAATCATTCGAAACATGCAATTTCATGGTTGTAGTTTGTGAAAAATATTGGTATTCTGCTGTGAAACAAACATACATATTATAATTGAAGCCTACTAGAAAAATCATCAATCATATGTCATATCACAATTTCCATCAGGAAGTCCAGCGAAATCAAGCTTGTATGTATTTAATCATTAACTAACGATTATTTTCTGTTGCCCAGTGCCTGAAATGCAAAATACAACATACAGTCTACATAGATTGCATCATATTTATACATTCAAAGTAGTATATACATATATAGTTTGCTACAGAGGTCTAGTCTGTAGCTAATATTGATGTTTCGGTTATAAAAAACACCACCTTTTGGACCGTAAAATCATCTTGAACTTGCCTGTCTACACGTACATGTAAATTGGGATATCTTTGTTGTCTTGGGGAGTTGTTGGGATGCTTGCAACTTGAATCGGTTCCAAACTTATCAGTTTGATGTTGAACTCATGCTGTCGTCATGATACAAGACTACTTTCATGTGATATAGTTTTTCGAGATTGTGGCTAATTAATGGTAAATCTATACCTTACTGCTATGTACTATTTATATCATTTAGGACATAACATGTACTTAACATAGAAATAGCCTCTATATCTTATTATGATAAACCTTTAATTTGGATCTATTTGAGTTGTGTCATTCTATTACATGTATAGTATTTGATTAGGTAGCTATATAGGAGCTAGTGCTGGGTAATATAGGCTTTTAAAGAATCTTCAGTGATATTACAGTATATACAAGGTTTGAGCACATTTCTTCAGTATTTTTGTTGTAATTTGGGTGTGTAGCATCTCTCTAGGTTTAGCCTCATTATAATCAGGTCCAGTTACATACAGGTTTATATATTGCATCATACATTGTATCCTGAACTTTTCCGACTTAATAAACAAGGATTATGATATTAGCACTAGTCTGATCGATTCATCTGTCATAATCAGCTGAATGTGTCAACTACTGTTGGCCTTTGTCAGTTAATTCAAGCTTAATCAATATTCTGCAGTATGAATCACCATCCATTTACACAAAAATGTAACATTACATCTTTAGACCAAGTCTAGACATCTGACAGATGTATGGTCTTGCTCCATGTTCTCCTGTGTAGAGAAGTTAGGTGTTCTCTCCATTGAAAATCAGACTGTAGTCTCTGAAGTCTATTTTTTCTTTAAAATACTGCCAAAAGTGGATTAATAATTTCAAAACCATTGATAAGGCACAGGAATATGATGTGAAATTTCTTTTTCTTTTTGAAAGACGAGAAATCCAGCCTCATTTAATATTCTATTCAGCTGGCCATGCAGACTCTAGCTCTGTAATCTATAGTGATTCATTGGAATTCCCATCCCAGCATGTGAAACATCACCTACACAATATTTCCCCTCAATATATATGGATTGATCACAGCTGCCATTTACAGTGGAGTCCAGTACTTTTCTGTTATTTCTGACATGTCCATAGGTTGAGGTCTTACTCCTCGTGTAACACTTGTAAGTATATATATAAATTGTACAGTTTCAGTGTATGATGCTGTAACTTTATCATTGTGAGATCCAGTAATCTGTTGAAGGGTTAAAATGTTTCCGGTGTAGTCCTAGAGTGATGATCAGACATAGTGTAACTGGCTGTCTGAAGTGTCTACCCACTGCATAGGATCCACATATACTTCAACATTCATAATAACTGCATGCAGGATGCATGGTGTCACTGTATGTAACACATTGAGAACGTAAACAAAAGTAACTACATGGGATCACTAGCAGATCACTTAATATTTCCTCAGAATAATAATTCTAGGGTCACTGCAATCTCGTTGATGTTGTTTCATATAAAAACAGGTACAGAGTTTTCCACAATCCCTTATCTAGTTTATGCATATACAGGTAGAAGCTAGACTTCTGTCATGTTTTCTTAATTTCATCTTCCTCTTCAGAATTTGAGTTCATTATTTTATTTTGACTTCAGGTGAATGCATGCATACGTTTATAGTTCATGTATATTGTATCTTCACTTGTATCTATATAGATCTAGAGTCAACTCAATAATCATACTGATAAATTGGCAATTTAAATTGGGTTTCAATATTATTACTTTATCTTTGAAATTTTCACTTGATTTTATTTTAATTAAAGAAAAGTAGCATATTCTTGTGTGTGTTTATAATTAAGGGGGGCAGAGAGTGATGTCTCAAACTAGAACAAAATTATCTATATCCAGGGTTTTTTCAAATTCACCTAGCTAATGTCCCTGCAATAAGGTCATAACTGGCACAAAAATGATCAACTTTGAAGGATATCATATGTTTATAGTATACATTGTATACATAACACATTTTGAAGTCTTTCCTGGGGAGATTTCTTAATGAGATTTTAACTATTAATTGTAATATGCATGTAGCAAATCAGAAAACACAATTTAGTGCACTGTATTAAATATCTATTTAATCTTATATGTGTTGTCAATAGTTGATGACATGGCTATACATACCGAGCACTAGTCACTGTTACATTGTTTGAGATGTATGGGCCAGACGTCCAAGTGTTCAATGTATATATCCTGGTATCTATACTGGTACATGTTTATTATTCTGTATGATCGGAGAATATTTAGGTCAGTTTCACTAGTTGTAGTATATACATTGTATGTACCTAATTAATGGTTTGTACTTTGTACTGGTTTATCTCCCCTGGTCAGATCTGTCTTCTCAATTACTGTAACTTATCGTAGATTGACCTGGTAGCATTATTAGTAAGGTGTGTAGTCCAGGACGTGGTAATTCAGTAAGGTTGTGGGCCAACTCTGATAGGGTGTCCCACTGTTCAATCTAAACTTTTTATCCCTGTATCTGATCAGTTTATCAGCTGCAGGCTTCTTGCCCAACATCTGTATTCCTACTCCAGTATTCCAAATATGTAGCCAAGGGTGATAATCAAATGCAGTTTTCCTAGATACTAGACTAATGATACTGAATCAAGTACATATAATACAAACTGCTGCTGGTTCTTCATTATACATTTTTACTTGAAATGTATGGCATGCTGTTTAATTAAAATGTTTGCAAATACAATTTACTGTCAAAGTGTCAATATGGGTTGAGTGGCGTTTATATTTGTTAGCAAAATGACAAACTCCGATATCTATATTCCAGAAGTCTTGATATGATCTAGAGCTGTATATATATACATGTACATTGAGATGGGTGTAGTATGTTGAAAGCTGGGGATATAAACTAACAAGGAAAAGAATAGAAAATTGTGCTTGATTGCATATTCTTGGACAAGAAGTGTGCCTGTATCAACAAGTCTGATTAGAACCCACATGTGCATGCCTCCTTCTATAGGACTATTCAATTGCCAAAATGTAGTCAAATACCTTTTAGAAAATTGTATGCTATAAAGTACTTATACTTTAGCTATCAGGGTTCTACATTAACTGTTAGGGTTGCATTGTTACAACATCATTGTACATTTGAAAAAAAAAGATATAATTAGAAATTATGATGCTTATTTACTCGAGGCAGTATTTTACTACTGTACAATGTGCAGGCAGAGTTGGTGTGTCTTCAAACTATTTTTTTTTATCAAACACAAAAAGAGTCCAAAGACATGCATACACGACCATAGATTAGTCATTTTACTTCCGACTATAAGTAATCGGGTATCATGAATTTCAATGTCAAATCAATCATGGTTTGACTATAACATTAAAACTTTTCGAGAGCTAGCCTATATATATAATGAGATTTGGAGCAGACCTAAAAACTGAATAAACAAACAATTTTACTCTAAAAACTCTAATACAACATTTCTGTCTATATCTAGCTACATACATTGTAGATATAGGTATTTAGAAAATACCCATCCAATTTTATTTTTAGTGAATACTTCTCAAATTATTTCTTTTTCATTCTGTGATAATCAATGATCAATCAATGTTTGAGAAGTAGTGACCTATCATGAATTTTGAAGTGATTTGCAATGCTACATTTAATGTACATCTACCAGTATATAGGAGTCATAGTTATTGGGGGGGGGGGGGGGGTAAATTTAGCACATTCACGTCCGCGACAAATAATCGGGTGGTCATTCATGTTCAAGCTCATCAGCTGGCATGGTGGGTTGATCATGAAGAGACCTAACCATATTCTTCATTCGAAACAGGCTTTATAGGATGTTTTTATAAATACTGTGTATACACAAATATGTAGCTGGATATATAACACTAAGAGTGAGCAAAGCAGTTCAACCGATTTAAACAAAGTTTGAGTAAACCAGATTCTACTGTAGCAACTGTATTCCTTAATATTTATGCATTTAGAGAAAATAGCTGTATGTACATGTGTTCTTTTTACATTTCAGACAACAAACCATGGCGGTGAATGTCTTTAGCACGAGTGGTACCTCTGAGAACATGAGCAGACATGACATGCTTAATTGGGTCAATGACAATTTACAAACCAACTATTCAAAAATAGAAGAATTATGTTCAGGTAAATATAATAGAAAGTGTACATACTTACAATGCGAGTCAGACTGTTATATAAAAGTTTTGTGATTTAAGTTATGTTAAATGTGTGATATGTTATTTCACAAACATTTTTGAGTAATGCTACATATTGGTATCAACTGCATGATCAAGATACTTTTGGTCAAGCTAAGAGATACGTATAGGATTAACATTTTTTGTCCAGGCTTAATTTTCAGATGACTTCAAGTTCTAATAAATAAATAAATATCCTTAAGGTCGAGATTAATACTTTTTATTTGGGCCTCTTGTATTCTCGTTGTACCTGGATTTGTATGTATTGAAAAAGTGTCCTAAATAACAATTATGACAAAAAGCAGGCTTTCTGATATGAATGTCTCATTAAGTTTTCAGACATTAATGATAATTATGTACTGATATATCTTGCCACTAATTACACTTTCATTTTGATATTACAGGTGGTGTTTACTGTCAGTTCATGGACATGCTGTTTCCAGGTAAAGTATATATATATTATAATGTTTTAATCATCCTTTATGTATAAAGCTTTCATACAAACAAATTTGTTGTTTTAAATTATTTGAAATGAGAATATTTATAAATAATTCTGAACATGTTTTTATTGTGTCATATTTTAACAAATGTATTTGGCTAGTTGTAATTGCAGTTAACTAGTTAACTAATATAAATTCTTTGGCTGATTGGCTTACTCTGAAAATAGGTCTGTAAATGTATTGCCATCTTTTCTAGGTAGTGGACATTTCACATATCTATTTCATTGAAATTTAACTTGCACACCCAAATTATATGTCATGTTGGCTGCAAACAGTGTTTGTGGCAAAAGAGATGATATTACAATAGCTGCACGTATGGTTAGCCATTTACATTATATATAATGACAGTTAAAACGGTCTTATAGCATTTATGTATGTACAATGTAGCTTTAATCTTGTGTCAGTTGTACACATGTAATATCCTTGTTGTAGAGAAAATTGATATAATTCATGACCACACCTTTTTAGGTCACCTGAAACAATACTCAAGTGACCTATTGAGATCGCCTTTTGTCCGTCGTCCGTTGTGCGTCCGTAAACAATTTACATTTTCGACTTCTTCTCCAAAACCCCTGAACCAATTTCAATGAAATTTTGTAGAAACCTTCCATGGCCAAAGGTCAACCAAAATTGTGAATTATATGGTCCCCAGCCCCCAGGGGCCTGTGGGGCGGGACCAAAAAGGGTCAAATTGACTAAAATTTCAAAAATCTTCTTCTAAATATCCAGATATAGTAGAATCATAACTCTCCATAGATGGAAAGGTGTCAAGGTGCTTAATCAAAATTGTAAATTTCTTGACCCTTGGGTCTCACGTTTCCTCCTGGGGAGGGGANCCCTGAGTTGACAGTTTGATACTTTGAAAATTTTGAGCCAGCCCTACCCCCAAGGGCTGTAGGGCGCCTAAAGTATCAGTGTGCTAAAATTTCTTCATTTTCCTTGTTTAGAATCAGAGGTGCTAGTTTCAAATACTTTTCAGTCTTAAATTTGTATGCTAGATATTGAATAAGGTTGTTTTATTGTTTTTTGTCACTTTGAATAATACTTCTGTTCATGTTTTAAAAACAAAAATCAACTCTCTGTATAAATATATCAGAACTCGGGTGACCGTTACGGCCCATGGGCCTCTTGTTATCTGTTTTGTGACCCAAGACTCTATTTAGTAAAGTGTGTCTTATGCCTTGTTCCTTACAGCCAAATTCAGATGACAGCTGTGTATAGTATGTTTGTTGATTTTTTTCACAATATCTAGGTAATGGCAAGGCTCTTCCTTCCTGTTAATAGTTGTAAAATTACTGCTTCTAAATGAAGAATACCTATGCCTTACAGATCTTCTAAAGATATACAAATCTCTTCTGTTTTAAGTAGTTTCTTGATCTCCTTTTTTATTGTGGTACATAATTTTATCATGAAGATAGTCCTGGACTTGTATTGTAATTTTCATCATTCGTTACTACCAAACTTTGAAACAATTTGAAACTAAAATTAAAAGAAAATTGCATTTTCAAGTGACAATTAGCAATGTTAACCATGTATCCAGGGATGTACAATTCCATCTATATCTTTATAGATTTAGATTTTGAAATTTTTTACTCGTAGTAAAAAATGTGTAATTTTCATTTGCTCTGAGAGAATATCTACCGGTTGTTTAAGGCAAACGTGCATGTGTATCACTCATGGAATCCTACACCCCTGGTATTAACTTATTACATACAGTTTACATACATTGCAGTTTGTGTAAGATTTCTTCCAATATAGACATTTTAAACTTAAGTTGAATTTGTCTTACAAAAGGTTTTGAGCATTATTTCCTGTTCAAATATTATAATTAACGTGTTTTAAATCATCATTGTTAGTTATAAAATTTTATTCATAGTTAAATGCAGGGCAAGTAATTAAAATTACCAGGTCTTGTGAAATATTTAGGTCCTTTTCTAAAGAAGTGTTCCATAAAAAATTATGTGTTTCCATGCATTATACAGATTTATGGTTGTTCGAAATTTGAATATTTGAAATAGAAATAAAGAAAGAAAAGCCGAAAAACTGCAGGGATCAAACTCAGGACCTTTACATTGCAAAGCGTACTCACGATCAATATTGCCATCCAGGAATTATGAATGTAAGGCATCAAAATGGTGTCCAAATAAGTTGACAGGGGAGCTACTCTAAGCCAGAAAAACTCCTTTTGGTTGCCATTTCGTCATCTTCTGTGTAGAAGGGGGGAATGCTCCTAAGTAAAACGACTCTTGATGAGTGGAACTTTTCTTGGCAATTATAACTGATGTGGTACCCCTTACCTTAACAGGTACAAATAATGTACATGTAGGACTGGGATCATTTTAAAGGTCATGAGCAGAAATGTGACTCAGTTGCTCTTAAAGTTTTCAAACAAGCAGACCTATATATCACATATAATTTTGGAGCATTAACCTATTACAATGCCTCAGTATTGCCATTCTTTAAGTTAGGGTTTTTAACTGTTTGTTCATTTATTTCCATAAAAAAAAATTATGACTCCAAAAGGTGCTTGAACTAACTAATGATATATATATGGTAACAAAGAACAGTTATTAAGAATATATATATTTAAATAAAAAAAATAAAGAAGGGAAACATGACACTGATGCTTTACGTGTACATGTATATAGGTAATACATAGTATAACTTAAGTTGTGCATCAAATAGCATTGTTGTCTTGGGCTATGTGATCAGCAGGTACATATGATAGAATTCATATTCTCCATTTCATAGATAAACTATTATTCTTGGTTGGTAGCTACAGTATGAACAGATAGATACAGACTCCATTGAAGACAAAACGTTTCAAACATATTATTACAGTATGACTAGGAGTAAAATTCTTGATTTAGTTGAGAGAGTATGCTAACATATATATAGGGTGATTGCTATTTTCATCACACTTTAGTTTATTCTGGTTTTAAATGGTGTGCCTTTTTATATTTTCTTTATAGTAATGATTGCATTGGATAGGTACAGTAGCTAAGTTTATATTTCTGGTTTTAGGTCAACTGTATTAAATCATCTAGGGTGCTGCTTTTTTTTTTTTAAGTTGGGACTTACTGACGAAATCACATTTGCATAGCGAGACTGAAATTCTGAATCAATCATTGTGAACTTAAACATTTGTTTTAATTATTCTTCAAATAGTCGAACTTTGCTGTTTTCCAACAGCTCTAATAATGAACTCTTACCTTATCCTTTTTTCCCTCTAATTGGGTAAAGGAATGTGGGGATCATACATCTGTATATTAATTTGTACATTGTATTCTATGTTTACTAGCCTGGAGTGCTATTGCTGTATAAATTGTCATCAAATGTATCATGATTCAATTGTATTTCAGGAAATCTCCCTGTGAAAAAAGTAAAATTCGTTACTAAGTTAGAACATGAGTATATAGCGAATTTCAAGCTGCTGCAAAATTGTTTCAAGAAACTGGGTGTGGACAAGGTGAGATGAGAGAAAACACTGAACAGGAGGGTCGGTCTGAAGCAGAACTTTCCTCTCAAGTCGCTAACACCAGCCTCTTTGCATTAACAGTCAACTTTTCTGCTTATCTATGTACACATTGCCTTGTTGAAGTCATGCCAATCTTTCCATATATTTTACATACTGTAAAACAGTTCAATTTATTGGAATCAAATTTAGATTTTAATCAAAAACGTTTTTTTGGGGGGGTAAAATTTCCCTGTGACAGCATTCTTGTAATCTCTCTATATAATTCCATAATGTTATAATGTGGGAGGTAAATAAGCCCAAGACAGTTAATGTATACAAGGTAGAGTGTATAGTCACACTCTCTTGAGCTCAACCTGATTTGGTAATAGAAAAGAGTGAGTACATGTAGTTTCAATTCGAAGTTTCATCCATGATCATTTTGTTTCCAAAACTTGGATCTGTCAAAATCAACATGTCTATATCTTTTGAAATTACATCAATCTCCGAAAGTATGAAAACTATCAAAACCTTGACTCCTGTACTCCTTGTGAGGTAACAACGAAAGAAATTGCAATTAAAATTACAGTTGCAAATGTTGCAATTAAAGAAATAAAATTTTCTGAAATCTTCAAGATGTTAATGAAAATTTTGGGGAGAATCTTCGTACTTTCCTGTCATAGGGCAAATTTTGCCCGACTTGGTTAATGAAGAAATTGGTGTTACAAAGGCATGTTTTTTGTGTTAGAATTTAGTGTGTGTTTCAATCTTTGGTGCCTTTCCATTAACAATGAAAGATACAAAATTAGAATTTAACAAAATTAATGGTTCTACAGTATCGCATGAACATCATGTTTTTAAATGTTTGGAGAAAAGGATGACTCAACAGGGTAACCATTATGGTTTATACATATACCAATATATGCCACTTCTATACATTGTTTACCAAAAAGGAAAATATCTTTAAGTAACATGCACATGTAAAAAAAAATTAAAAGGTAATTAACATGCTCTGAAAACTTCCTATGGTTAAATTTAATTACAGTATTATAGAGTTGGCATTGCTGATATATTTATCGACCAAAAAAACATTGTCCTTTGGCATGAAGGTACAATTCGGCAACACTAGCTATAGCTGTATGTATGCATGGGCTTTTTGGTTTGATTTGGTAAAGGGATACTAATTGATGTTACTTCATTAATATTGTTTACTTTTCAGCAGACTGACTGAGTTTGTGCCTCCATGCTTACCTAAGCTGAAACGGCTATGATTGCTGGTGAAATAAGTTGTATCTATATTGACAAAGTTCAAAAACCACTTTTGCAAAAATTCTTAAAGAAGAAATAATTGTTTGAAAAAAGTTAACAACTTGTGCCAGCAATCATTTCCACTATAGTATTTCACTTGCATTCTACACCGGTTCAAACAGCTCTCCAGGTATATATGTATATGTTCCATTGTTTAGAAATTTATAAAAAGCTTATATTGATTGAACTTTTCAAATAAATTTTCATTGCCAAGCTTGTTTTTTACTTTGTTTCAGGATATATACCTATGAAGCAAGTGAAATTCAATACAAAACTAGAACATGAATATATACAGAATTTCAAAAAACTGCAAGGCAGCTTTCAAAAACTGGGTGTTGATAAGGTGAGTGGCTAAGGTCTTGACCCTTGACCTGATGTCATCTCCATAATGCCACTGTATCACCAGCACATTGGTTGTTTAGTAGAATATGCTGCTGTTACTCGTGAATTTGCTGATCTTTCTGGCACAGTTTTGTCTGTTTTTAGGTCACCTGAGCTTTAGCTCAAGTGACCTATTGCTATCCTTTTTCGTCCGTCGTCGTCCGTCGTCCATCGTCCGTCGTCCGTCGTCCGTTAACATTTTACATTTCAAACTTAAAGTCAAGTTCTGCTGGGCCGATTGAACTGAAAGTTGGTAGGAATGATCGCCTCATGGTCCTGACAAAGTGTTGTTATTTTT